TTCTGTTGCTGAGAGGTCAGCAAATTGGTCATTATTTAAAATAAATTTAAAATACAAAACCACCAAATAGATATTAAACTAAAAAGAACTACTAACCTCTGAGATTCTCATGGCACTGCAGGCTAACCAGTCTCTCATTACTAGCTCTTGGTTTCATCTCTATGTGACATTCAGCAAGACTTGTCTCTAGGCCCCTGCAACTTATTTGCAGACAGTTCAATGAATTTAAGGCAGATTCTGTGACGTCGAAAGTGGCTTGGTAATACTCAGCACCTCTGTGAAGATAATAACAAATTATATAATTTCACAATGGATTGTCCACTGCTTTTAATTATTAGAATTTATATGATTTTCCTCAGAGTCAAATAATTTTGGTCATGGCTAAGAAAAAGAGCAGACTTCCCATGGAGCTATCTTGGGGTAAACAGGAGATGTTTGCTTTGGAACAAAAAGTGCTAATTTTTGCAAGCTGCTACATAGAACTATCCCCAAAATCCATATGTAGGACTGTGAAAGTCACTGTGCATCACGATGGATAGAAGTCTCCATATGTAGCAAAACCTGTAAGCTCAGACCTCTATCTCTGTGGACCTGGGTGAGCCGTAACTTGGGAGCCATCCTGCATGGGGCCAGCTATCCTTGGTGCCATAAAAACCAGCGAATACTGAGGAAGCTCAGGCCATTGCAAGGCTGGGATTGATAAACTTTATCCTTCTTGGTTTTACCTGAGCAGTATTCTCCTAACAGTGCATGTATCCCCTACCTAAAAGAAATAGGGATCAATTAAATAATTAACTAGAGGGGCTTTCAATGAGACTCCAGGGCTGAGTGCTCTGTCTCAGGGCAAACCCTTCTCTGCTATCTGAAAATCCACTGATCAGGACTAGAAAACACTTGCTTCTCACCTAGAGAGGCATTGCAATATCAGTTTTAGTTTTTTAGGTACTTTTTTTTAGGGTCTTTTTTCGGTAAGGTTGGGGGGCAATGCTACCTAAGTTAAATTAGTTGTACAGGTGTAAAATTATTATGTACAGGATACAGAGGTAACTTCATGAGGAGCTGAAGACACAGCTCGAGCCATCAGTGTGGTCACAGGAAAAAGAACAAACTCCATGTGGCTTCAGCCATCCCTGAAGTCAGAGCAAGCAGTGGCAGCAGGGGCAAGGGGTGAAGGAAAAAAAACCCTGCTCTGCTCCCTGTAAGCCTGGCTAATGCAAGTGGCAAAGCACAGCTGTACCCTGTTGTCAGCTGTTTTGAGAAACCTTTCTCTGCACACAGATCATTGCTCAGAGCTACTTGGGGATGGTCTCTGCATGCACTTTCCTTATCACAGGCCTGAGAGAACACCTCCACATTGACCTTCATCTTTATTTTAAAGTAAAACAGTTATAGTTTGTATAGTTGTAGCCTGTAAGAAAACACAGAAATCTTGTTTAGGCTTTCACTCTCAGGTGTCAGTTTAAGAAGTTCTATCAGAATATTGTAGCCAATGTATTGTTCATGAGTTTTCTGTCTTAACTGTTGTTAAGATACTTCTGTAAGCATCACTACTTTTTGAGATCCCCTGCAGTTATACAGAGAAAAATTCCCCAAACTTACAATTCAAAGCCAAGGTGCCTGCAAGCCACATTTGCTTCATTCATAGTCCACCCACTACTGCACACAAAACTGTTATCCTTAGTATTCAGGGGTTTTACTCGAAGCAAACGTGAATCTCCATGACCCAGAGAGACTGAAAATGTTTCTTAAAAAATAGAAAAGAGATAAATGAAAAAAAAAATCCCCAAACAAAATCATATTATATAGATGTATGTAGTCAAAAGACAGCACAAAACCAAATCAGGACTATTTTGTATTTACAGACAAAGTTCATATGGAAAGAACAGTAGACTTAGAATCAGAAGCTTCAGGTATTATTCCTGACTTTTCCTGAATTTGTGTCTTTGAGCCTGCTAATTTCTCAGAACAAGCCAGTTTAAAGACAAATGAGGGTAATGGGTCCATAAGAGTAATTGAAGATCTACCAAGAACAGGTTGCATTTTAGTATAATGACCTTCTTTAGAGGATTTTTGATAACCAGCCAGTAATACTTGAAGTGAGAGGGCCAGATCCTACTTCTACTACCTGTGCTGCAAAATGCCTGCAGCAGTCTGTGTAGCAAAACCAGCAGCAGGGTGACCTGGGCCTGTCAATCACTTCCTTTTTAAATGAAAATCAACAGATACTGCCCATTTTCAGTATTTTTCATTTTCTGTTTCATGTTGTTACTAGTGCAAGAAAATGAACAGCCTTTCTGAACTGTAAACAGTGTAAGCATCTCCTCAGCCACCCCGATGGATAAAGTTCAGAAAGGAGGTGTTAATACCTTCAGGCAGGCATGTTCCCTTGTGCAGAAACTTTGCTTTGGGTTGTTGACACTCATAGCTCTTTAGCTGACAGTAAGTACGGAAGTTCTTTCCACTGGTAGAACAAACTGCAGAGCCATTCTTTGGGCACTGGTAGGGAAGCTTGCAAAGGCATTTTCCCTCCACACATCGTTCCCATGGGTGACAAAAAACTTTTTTACAGGACTTGTGGGTGTACTGGTTGCTTAAGCATTCTTCTATGAGGTAGTTGTCTTGCTCAGCTGGCTGGGCAGGCTTAACCTGTTGAAAGTGGTTTTCCTCAGCATTAGATGCTGCCTTCTCCAAGGCACACAAAAAATAATTAAAGTAAAAGTAAGATTAGGGATTGCACCAAGAGTTTTGCAGATCCCTTCAATGACCTCAGGAAAGTGTCTATTTATAAGCCTTTTCCTATCTAATCAGAAGTTCCTAAATAGCATTTGTAGTGTTTATCCCCTTGTCTTTCTCAGTTTTTCTGGATTCTTTTTTTCTTTTTGGATCATTTACCCAGTGTGATCTTCACTCTTACTGATCTCCCACAAACTTTATACTCTTTACTTTTCAAACATCAGCTGAAGTGCACAGCAGATTATAAACATTTTTAAAAGCATTGGTTTATAACACATCCCAGCAATGAGACTGTAAGCAGATTAAAACATAAAGGAATTTAAGCACCAGATAAATAAAAAAAAATAGCAATTTTGGTTGTGGTTTTTTTTTTTTTTCTAAGATTTGTTTTATTGGACTGGTTGACTTTGGATTTATATATCACCTGTAAATATTTATGAACTACTTACAAGCAAACTAATCTATAATTAATGATTTGTTTTGCAGAGTCCACATGACCGCTCAAGTAACAAGTACCTCAAATACCTTAACAACTATCTCAAAGCAATTTGAAAATTAAATGCTCATCCTTATCAGTTTCTTTCCTGTATTTTGCACAGCAGTGGATCCGCAGTGTGGTTGCTGGCCATCACTGTACTGCAGATACAGATTCTGACCCTCCCTCTGATGGCCTCTGGGTGAGTGGCTCTGCACCTGTGCTTATGCAGTTCTCTGGTGGCTCTAGTGCTGGCTGAGGGCTTTTACTTACAAAGATCTGCAGGGTAGGATGGCTCTTGGAACATGACAAATATATATGGATGCACTCTGTGCAAAAATGGGAGAAAAACATTAGTCCTCAAATGCAACTTATCAGCTTTGACTGTGTCAACAGAACTGAAGTTTAAAGTTCTCATGAAGAAATCCTGCCCACGGTGAAGTCAGTGAGGATGTAGTTGGGGCAGAATTTAATCCAATACCTCTCCTTTTCACGGTTGTATAATCTTTTTAAATTTTTCCTCCTATTCTCAGGTCAGCAGAATCCAAACTACAAGCCGGATCCGGCTTGGTACAACTCCCGTATTGTGCTAGGGGTTCCTCCTTAACGGGAACTACAGGTGCTGATGTTTATCTCAGAATTTCTCTGAAAGACTTGGGTTGTGCTGAGTGCCCAGCCCAAATGGGCTTTCCTGGACACGTCTGCCCGGAGACAATCTGCAGGAAACCTTCTGGCAGTAGGATAATACCATGCTGCCAGACTGCAATCCCATTTCTCAGAAAAGGGAGGTGGGGAAAATCACAGAACCTTTCTGTGGTCAGCCATGCTTGCAAATTTGGTTTGGGATATGATCGTGATTAAAATCTTTTTCAGAAACCTGTCAGCATAAGCTCTAGGTAGAATCAAAACATGAAAGAGAAATAACAAACTTCAGACATTCAGCCTGGACTAAAACAAATGTATGAAAGGAATCTTTTTCCAAAAAATCAATTTGCTTTGCTTTTATAACAATAAACTGTTTATTAAACGTTTTTAAAAAAAATCCTGCTAACACAATAAAACATATCTTACCTCTGATCCACAAAGACAAAAGAGGCACAAGAAAGCCAAGCAAATTGGGAACATTCGCATGATGAAATTTTATCTCTTCCTAGACAAATTCCTCTGGCTGGGATTCTTTTGACTGTCAGCTGTTAGATTTGTGTTTAATTTTTAACCATTAGAAAAATATTTTGAAGAGCGTTTAGAAATAAAGTACAGTACCCTCGACTATTAACTGATAAATCTGATCTCTTCAAAAGATCCTGCCTTAACTGGTTTTGTCGTAAGTGTATGACGAGATGACAGAAGTAAAGCCCTTGAAACAAATTATTAAAAGGAAGCGCTTGTTGGGGTTACACTTTTCTTTTCTTTGCGCAGAAGACTCCGACCGATCCACCACACCGGCTCTCCTGATTGCGGCCGTCCATGGCTGTCAGGTTGTTGTGAAAAAGCAATGTTGTTATACACGGTGCTGATATACGCAATGTTGTTATACACAGATCAGCTCTGTGGGGAGCGCTCCCGCCATCGCCACGCCCATCCCACAGCGGCGCGGGAGTCATGGGGAATTTAAAGCCGTTTGCGACAGTGTCGGCCGGCTGGTGCCCTTTCATTTACGGCAGGCAGCCCCATTTGCGGCAGCGGCGGTGTTTCCGGGCGGGGCCGGTGCGCACGTGCAGGTATGGCCCGCGCGGGAGGTGATGGAGCCCCTGTCATAACCGCGTGTCTGTCTGTCTGTCTGTTCGCTCGCTCGCCCGCCAGTCACCCCTGTCTGTCTGTCATCCCTCAGGGAATGGCCCCACGAGCCGGGGTCCCCAGGCCCTGGTTGCAGGCCGCGCCCCGAGGACCCTGAGAGGCGCCGCGGGTGCGCGCCCAGTGCGGCCTCCGGAGGGAACCTCCTGAGGTGTAACGGGGCCGAGCGGAAGGGTCGGGGCGACCCCCGGTACCAGCACAGGCTGGGGATGGACAGACAGAGAGCAGCCCTGCTGAGAAGGACCTGGGGGTGTGGTGGGTGCAGGATGGACACAATCCAGCCATGGGCACTCCCAGCCCAGAGAGCCAAACCTGTCCTGGGCTGCATCCAGAGCAGCGTGGGCAGCAGGGCCAGGGAGGGGATTCTGCCCCTCTGCTCTGCTCTGGTGAGACCCCACCTGCAGGGCTGCACCAGCTCTGGGGTTCCCAGCACATTAAAGACGTGGAGTGTTTGGAGCAGATCCAGAGAAGGCCACGAAGGCAGTCACAGGACTTAGGAGCACCTCTCCTCTGCAGTCAGGCTGAGTGGGGATTGTTCAGCCTGGAAAAGAGAAGGCTCCAGTGCCTGAAGGAGGTTGCAGCAAGGCTCTAGAGGAACTTTTCACAAGGGGACATAGGGATAGAATAAGAGAAGATAGTTTTAGACTGAAAGAGAGTAGGTTGAGATAGGTACTAGGAAGAAGTTTACAGTAAGAATGATGAGGCACTGGACCAGGTTGCCCAGAGAAATTGTGGATGCCCCATTCCAGGGAGTATTCAAGGCCAGGTTGCATAGGGTTCCCTGAGCAACCTGTGGAAGGTGTACATAGCAGGGGTTTTGGAAGTAGGTGATCTTTAGGATCCCTTCCAAACCAAACCATTCTATGATGTTCTCGCTTTGTGCCACTTGTGAGGCTGGGGACTGTCATCAGCCTTTATACAGATGAGTGAAAAAAGTGCTGATTGCTGCTAGTCACATTTTGCAATTGGATGTTGCAGTGGATGACATCTTGGGTGTAAACTTGATTTTTCATAGGCCAGCATGTTTGTATTGATGATTGAAAAGGATGAACCAATAAATTAACAAACCAGGCTGACAGGAGACTGTAATTTGTAAGGCAAATCAAATGTGATGTATCTTTTATATCTTAAACAACTGATTTTTTTGTTCACAATGTAGGAAACAGTAGAGAATGTCTTTTCGTGGAAGAGGAGGTGGAGGAGGAAGAGGAGGTGGCTTCAACCGTGGAGGTGGTGGTGGTGACAGAGGTGGCTTTAACCGTGGCGGACGAGGTGGCTTTGGACGGGGAGGTGGAAGAGGAGGCTTCAACAGAGGAGGATATGACCAGGGCCCTCCAGAAAGAGTAGTTTGTAAGTTACATGGAGAAATTTAATTTATTTAATTTTGGTTGTCTGCTCCAGCTCTTTAGCTTGTTTGTTCTTTATTTCAGTTTTGGGAGAGTTCATGCATCCCTGTGAAGATGATATAGTTTGTAAATGTAAAACAGAAGAAAACAAGGTGCCTTATTTCAATGCCCCGGTGTACCTGGAAAATAAGGAGCAGATTGGCAAAGTGGATGAAATATTTGGACAGCTGAGAGACTTTGTATCCTTCAAAAAAAAAAATGTGACTTAGAATATATATTTTTTTTTAATTGACTGGATATTAAATGGGATTTCTCTAGGATTTTAATATAGTAAAGGATTTAGCTACCTGTTATATGTGAGATTTGCTGCAACTGTTGGTCTCAGTAGGTGCTTCATTCACATTAAGTGCCTCTCTTAGATCTTTTTTGATATGACAAAGTACTTGAAGTCAGTCAGAGATTTTCACTCTGTCCCAATACTGATGATATCTCTTGGATCCATGGTTGTCCAAGTTGTTACTTTTTCTGGCTAACTGACCAAGTTTTCTGCTTTAGATTACTAAGCCATAACAGAGTTGGATCAAGGGCCTTGGGGTTTTTTGTGCATTAGGGGACCTTGGTCATGCTCCAGCTCATTTTATTATAAAATGAGTTTATACGAAGATGTGCTGTTGCTCAGCACATCAGTTGTCCAGTTTGTTACTTAACCTGCCCATAACAGTGGGATGTGCCAGGACATCTTTGGCAAAGCCAGCCTGACACAGAGACACTGGATGCATTCTGTTGTCACTGCCAGATAGATAGAATCCATGACAAAAGCAGGATAGCTGGGGGAGTAACCCTGTAACACGTCAGTCAAGACTCAGCCTGTTGGTTGAGCATCAGTTACTAGCTACATGCATTTTCCTCTCCCACATTAAATGTGAACTATAATGTGCATGTTTAAATCACTTTTAATCGCAATTGTGGTGAAATCTGGCTGAATTTATAAAATACTATCTTAGAAAATGTCTGAATGTTCCTTCTATATACGGATCAAAATCACTGTTTTTAATGTTTTATTGCTGCAATGCTCCTTAGAGAAACCAACAGTATTTTTCAGTGAAACTGTCCGAGAACATGAAAGCCTCTTCATTTAAAAAAATGCAAAAGGTAAGTCAGTCTCAGTAACAGAATTTTACTGAAAGTCATCAGTTAGCTAGGTCTCATTTGTCAGCAGATAATAAAAGTTTTATTAAGTTTTTAATAATTTTAAAAGCTGGTTGTTCTTTGCATACATAGGAATTTAGTTCCTTGTCCTTTTCAGTTTTTTGTTTGCCACATTATTCCTTCTCCCTGCCCATGATGTAAGAATCACACAAATATCACCTATACTTTAGCAGCTTTTTAATTCTGTGATTTACTTTTTGTGTGCTTTCTCTATTTGGCTTTTTGCAGAGGGCAGTTTGACATGATGGGATAAAACCAAATTGTGGATATTTGCAGAGGGAGATATCAATTTGCTGTTAGTCTTGGTATTTTGAAAGCCTAATGGAACTCTCTTCTGCAGTTTTACATTGATCCAGCAAAGCTGCTACCTCTTCAGAGATTTTTGCCAAGGCCCCCAGGAGAAAAAGGTGCTCCCAGAGGAGGTGGTAGAGGAGGACGTGGTGGTGGACGTGGGGGAGGAAGAGGCGGTGGTAGAGGTAAGGTCACAAGAATGAAAGCTACAGAATGTTACTTGAGAGTTATTTGAGATGCTGTGGGTTGCTTTGGTCACTTGTTCTGTGGAGTATTTGTGTTTTGTTTTTTAAAGCTGCTGGTGAGTTCTTTAATATCAACAGCTGTATTGCAAATAAAAACGTTGCTGTTTGACTATAGAAAAGGCAGTGATACCTTTCAGGTGGTGAGACTGGCTAAATTACAGCTCCAAAGCATAAGGAGGAGAGAGCGCTGATTTATAACAAAGCCAGAAAGCTTTTTGAGCATCACCTATGATGTACTCTTCAATTAAAGCTGAAGTTTGTTTTTTCTTACATCATTTTCTTGCCTCTTTTCCATGTGTTTCAACATGGTTTGATTTCTTTGTTTTGATGTTCTGTTGAGTTGTAATTAATAGATAACAATTACTAGTAGTTGTAATGAATTACTGGTTAATATATGTAATTCATTTTTTGCTCTTGTAAATGAAGTTAAGTCTCTTTAGTATTTTGGACATGGTTTATCAGATATTAAGCAATACCTAAAATGCTCCATATGGTCCCTAGAAGAAACAAGGTACTAGTAATTGACCTGGTAACTGTTTGGCAATTGACAGTTTCTGGTTTTTGTTGTCATTCGTTTCATTTCATTTCAGAAGCTGTCAATGAAATAAATTGTTGTACATAACCAAGAATTTATATGCTCCTCAAAGGGTAATTTCTTTCTTTTGTTTTAGGAGGATTTGGAGGAGGCAGAGGTGGAGGAAGAGGAGGAGGATTCAGAGGAGGTAGAGGAGGAGGATTCAGAGGAGGAAGAGGTGGTGGAGGAGGCTTTCGGGGTGAGTATGTGTGTTCTTGCCTTTTAGTAATAAGAAAAGCTCCTGATTTCTTAAGCTTGTAAATATTGAACAGAATGTTTTGATTTTTAATGTCTTATAGATGTTTATAGTTCTGTGCAAGAGATATCTGTGCATCCTGGTGGTTTAAACTGAAGCACAGCTGTGCATTTGTTGATGCATGTGTAAAACTGTTAGTTTTTCACATTTTATTCTATCAATTCCTTCAGTGTTATGTATAGAATTTGCTTTAAGCACAACTAAGATAAGAATTGTTTGATGTATTTTTCTTTTCTCTTAAAATAGGAAGAGGACATTAAATGTGGAGCCATGAGTATCTCCTTCCTCATTGTCTTATCATGTCATCTGCAGAAGCAAAGAACCATGAAAAATTTTTATAAAGGACCCTGGAAATCTTTTTATAAAGAACTTGAAGCTACAAATGACAGTTACTTTTACACTTAATGACTATTGGACACATGAGGAGAGTGTAGCCACAGGTGAAGAGCTGAAGACTGCTCAGGATATGTGTAAACTTTTCTAACTAAGCCACCATTTGCTATTATTCTTAAACTGCTTGTGTCTGACAAGCAGTGCAGTCAGTGCTTAACTCCATGTTGGAGTTTGGAGTAAACAGTCAGTTGAAATGGGTTTTCCAAAGACCCTGCAGGTTCACTGCATGCACATACTTCAGTGTGAACCTGTGCATGACTGATCCCTGGTTCTCATCCTCGGTTTGTATTGAATCTTCTGGGATGCTCTGAAATGGACATGCCGTTTAAACAACCTTTGTGAATCTTTTTTTATAAATTAAATTTCAAACTTTTGTGTTGGTTATTTTTTAAATGCATAATAATGTATAAGAGAGAAGACAGCAAAGTATATTTTGTGAATTTTCTGTATAAATATTAATGAAAGCCAAATGCATTAAGAACATAGTCTTCTTAGAAACTGCTGTCTAATGAACAAGACAAGGTTAATACTACACTTCAGTCATCTGATGGTACCTAATTACACTGATATTAAAATGCTAAGGGTTTTTAATGGGCCCTGCATCCCCCCTTAGCCTGTTTCTCTTGAGGTTTTGGTGTTCTGGTACTGCACCTGAGGATTGTTGGAAAGGTAGTGACTGTGTCTTCCTAAGGATGGATGAGACCAGGGTGTCTCTCTGCCCTGGAACTTTGGAATTTAAATAGGTGAAAATAGAACTTCCCTGGATTTCTTTCAGCTTGAGCCAGGAGTCTGTTCACAGACTCTCCTACCAAGCACTTCTGAAAGGGGCCTGTAGAGTAATTGTGCAAGTATTTTGAACATCTTGTTCAGTGTGAAAAAGGTTCCTTTCAGAACTGATTGCACCGTTACACTTCTTAATTGGTGAATGCAGTAACAGGCAGTTTAATTATGTTAGCCTTCTGCTTAATAAAGGCAACAGGTAATTTTTCAGTACCAGGATAGGACACTGCATGTTTTAACAAATGTGACCATTTGTTAATGTTGAACAAAACTTGAAAGAATGGAAAAACAAATGGTATAGAATTCATTTAAACATGAATAGATGCTGCAAAGGATAATAGATAAAAATGTTTTTCAGTTTAAAAAACCAAAACACAGAACAATGATTTTCTGCTAGGTCTGCTTTTGTGAGAAGAAGCTGAGTCTACTCTTAACCCCAGGAAATGAGGGATTCCAGGTGTTTTTTTTTCCTGGTATTGCTACAAGCCTAGCTTTAGCCAGGTCAGTTAAATCCAGAGCTGTGAGAATGATTAGGCTTTTGTTGCTATACAGTGCTAGGCCTAAGTGTGTCAGAGCTTTGACTCGAGGCTTTGTAAAATTGTCTTTTATCTAAATTCTTTGCAAGTAAATGCATTTTGGGCATTCCACGTTGCAGCTGAACAAGAGAAGCCAAGTACAGCTGCAGTGTCAGGACTTCTGTCATGTCTGCAGCTGTACTGTGCAGGGTTTCTTCACTGATGCTTCAATAGCAGACAGCTGGCTCAGATCTTCTTTCCTTATTGTTCTGACTTTAGACGACTAACATAAGACAGTCCTCACTCTTATACCCAAATTCATGCTGCTCTTCAGGGACATGGTTTTTCCCAGGGTCTCAGAAAGCTCCTGCCATGACCTGTGAAGTGCAGGGTGTGACAGGCAGTGTTTGGCTGCAGGCAGTGTTGCCTGGCAGCCCAGGAGCAGATGTGTGCTGAGTCTCTCAGCAGATGGAGCAGTGAGTCAGCCTGAGGCATTGCAAGGGCAAAGCAAAGGCTTTGACCTCTGTATGCAGAGGGGCTAAACGGCAATATCCATTGCAGCTCTGGAGGAAAGATTGGCCTCTTGATTACAGGGAAGGGATTGTGGTCCCAATAGAGAAATGCATGAGGAGCATTATGGCATGGCCTACATATACTAATAATGCTGGATGGATTTTATGCAAATATCCAGAGAAAATTTATAATCTTAGATCTCCACAAAGGTTCTAGGATGTTCCTAGGATGGAAAAATCATATGAGGAAACTGGATATGTCTTCCATATGCTGGTGCCTTTTTTTCCTTCTCCATTCTGGGGAAGGGGGTTATTTGCAAGGCACATTCAGTCCCTGTTCTGCATTGTCTTCTCTGTGTCATGGTGTGAGCCTGCCCTCCTAATATAAGTAAGATGCTAACAATAATAGATCAAAATGCAGTCTCAAAGAAATTAAGACATCTTATTTGCAGTGTAATGCTGTAACAAATTAAGACAGAGGTCCCCTAATTTTATATGACACTTTTCTGTCAGTCTTGAGCTTCTAGTTCAAATTCTAGCTGTGAGTCTGTTACATTTGCTCCTGGTCCTAGTAAGTGAAATGTTCAGGTTTTATTTATATCCGTAATTACAGATGCTCTGTGCTGCTGCTGCAGAGAATAGGCGAGGGGCTCACATGTACTGTGACAGAAATGGCAAATTTCAAGGAGTTGTAGTGTCTGGGGAAGAAAAGTCACAGTGCAGTCTGAAGTGAGGGGAGTTGGGGGTAAGGTGTTCGTGTAAGATCTGGATGACAGTTTGGTGTTCCCTGTATTCATTCCCCTTTCTCTGGTAGCTTCTGCTTTGGAGCACATAGCTGGGCTATCTAAATAGCTTCTCACCTGCCACCTGCTCCAGCAGCACAAGGGGAGTTGCTGTCCTGGAAATTCCGTTGAAGCTCACGTGGATTTCAGAGCAGCTCAGTATGCAGCAGTAGTGCTGTCACCTACCCATGTCCTCCTCCACTGCCATGGCAGTGTTTGACCCAGTGTAGGGTCAGACTTCCAGCTGATTGTGAAACTGACACCTGGTGTATCACCAGGATTAGATTGCTAACAAGTAGAAGACCTGGTACCTTTTGTCCATGCCATAGCAAAATTGTGGGGGTATTTTTTTTGTATTTGGGATCTAAATCCTTAAACAGAGGGTACCACATGGAGGTGTATTATAAAGCTTAAATCGTTAGCAATTGAAAACGGCTTTACTGCCCCTGCATTCCTTGCAGAGTTGTTTATTTTCCCTGTGTTTTCTGCAGATGCTGGGATAGGGTGGCTCAATGTAGTTCACAGATTTGCTATGTCACTTAGAAAAATTTGATGAAGTGCAGAAAATAATTGGGATATTTATGTGTAAGTCTGCAACATTGGCAGTTGTAGAACAGGAAGGATTTTCTCTGGCACTGACTTGTATATGTGGATGTTTGCCTGAAGAAATGCTGGACTATCACACATGTACTGGTGTGAAGTAATTTTCAGTTGTGTAAAGCATTGTCTTGGAAAGAAACAATATTGTTTATTAAAAAAAAGCATAGCTATTGTGTGATGTGTGGCAAGTAAAAATCTTAGTGGAGTCATGCATTTTTAGGGCTGTCAGCTGAAAATCTCTATAGAGTGAAACTTCTCTAACCAACAGTTTAAGTCTAGTAAAAATCTCTGCGACTTTTCTCTGTGACAGACTAGGGGAAAGAAGGAAGTTATTAATTTGTTTTCCTTGGGGTTTGATCCACTTGCGTCTGTTTGGGAGAAGATTAAAGGGACATTTTGCCTTATAGAGTGCTCCAGCAGTGAAGGGCATAGGAAATGTGGGAGGGGTTTGGTTTGGGGTGGGTTTGTAGCGGGCTGACTGCTGGAAATAGGAAGAGGGTTGGGGTTGGTTTTGCTTTCCAATTTATTTTTAACGCACAAGGTACGTACATTTCTCTACTCACATCATTCATGTGTATTTTACATATAACAGAAAGCAGCATGGTAAACCTCACATTGCATTGCCCCACATATCTATAGAGATACAAGCAAATTGAAGAATGGATTTAAATAGATGTTACATTTTGCTACTGATCTGGGACAAGTGGGAAGGAAAAACATCACTTGATTTTATAAAGTGCCTGTCTGACACCTGTAAAGCTATGTTATTGAAGGATAAAAATAGCCTGAGGTTTTGGATTTTATATTCTTATACCTGTATTTATAAGCAATGTGGTAGGACATATTTTACCTGGCTTAGAAGCTGTGGATTTTTTTTTTATACTTCAATATTTAATTTCCTGTTTGATCTTCTTGGCTTTATTTTATGAACTACAACGTTCCAGAAAAAAAATACTTTTGATGATGTTTGCCTTTAGTTTTGACTTTTCTCTGTCAATTCTAGTTGCTGTAAAATTAATCAAATTTGAGAAAAGACAGATACAATTGGTACCTAGGATAGACTGAATGTATTAGAAAGTTATATTTAAATCAGCAAGTATAAAATTTCTTTTGTTAATTGCTACTATACATCTGGAATCCTATCTGAGTAAAAATTTCTGAGACATTCAATATTGTAAGCTCTGACTTCTGTGGAATCTGCAAGATCTGAGGTGCTTTTGAAAATCTTGCCAAAGTGTCAGAGGAGGAAAGCAAACCTAAAACTATTGCCATGTCTTTATCTTTCAGGGCAGAACAATGTTGCGTGAGGGAAGTAGCTTCATTGCCAAACAGATCATCTTTCCTTTCAGAACCCTCCCACGCTGTTCCTGCCTAATCTCATCTGACAGGAAAAATACTGTAATAATACAAATGCCCTGAGAGCTGTGAGTGTAGATGTGGGGCACTGAAGAAAACATTTGTTCTTAGGACTGTGATGTGAAATCATGTGTGATCATAATGATGGCTAAATGCTGCAACTGCACAAGTTTCTATAAAAATTTTCATACCTTTAGGTTCAAAAGAAAGATGCAGGATGTTTCTTTTGGAGAACTGAGGAGTGGAAGGGAACACTCTATGAATATTTCAGAGGTTAGAGAAGAGACAGCTCATCAGGTATACTTTCTATGGGATGACTGCATTTCTGTGTCTCTGTGCCCTTACCACTGCCCAGAAGGCCCAGCCCCAGCCTGGGACCTGTCTGACCTACCTGTGAACCACACACAAGTGAAGAACCACTGGTGCTCATCTTTGTCACTTTTACACCCAATATGAATACTGACTGAAGGCAAAAACTGTGTGAGGCAGGACTGAAGGAGGGCAGCTGCTTTCTGGTACTGGCTATCAGAAATTCACTGGGTATTATTGCAGCTATTGTTATGCATGGTTTCTTAAAGTCTTTGCTTTGGTGTGCTGATCATTGTAGGGAAGAAAACATGAGCTTTTGCTGCTCAAGTCTTTGAAAAATGCCCAGTAAGATGCTTTGGAAAATTTTCCCAAAGTAAGCTTTTGTGTATTGTGTTTAGGAGAGTGAAGCACATCCAACAACCATTTGCTATAGACCAGGCTATTTTAGAAACATAGCGACTGAGTTTTCTGAAAGTCATGTTTTGCTTAGGAGAATACTGGAATGTGTTTTTCTTGTGTCTTTGTCAGAGAATTTAAATCAAACAAAGAACCTCAAAGGAATAAGTCTTTAAAGATTTGAAGGGATGTGCTTTAGAGTGAATGTATCCTGTTTTTAAGGAAACTGACATTTGTCTCTTCGTGTTGTACTGCAGGTTTTTGTGCTTTGCGTGATGATGGGAATTAGTTCCAAGCCAGGCTGATGATTGATTGAACTGAGTCAACTTTTGTTGAGGTTTCCAAAGCATTGCACAAGAGGTTTGAGGGGAGAAAGTTTGGGGGCATGTGACCGTTAATCTCATTAGCAATAAGACTGAAGTTTAAGCATACTGTTCAAAATTCACTCTGTTCTGTGCTGCTCTTTGTTTTAATTAACAATCTCCTGCATAGATTGGGAGCGTAAACTTCTTTCCCCTTTAGTCCAATTAAATCATGCTTGGAAGCTGTCAATGGTGGGGGGAACTCCTCCCTACCCCCCTTCTTTTAATTTTTCAGTGAGTCTGTTGAATAATGAAAGAATTTGCCTGACAGGGTTTTGTAGTGTTTCCTCTTCTTGATGAATTATTGCAGAGGATAGACGACAGTCTTTTGTCGAAAATGCATTGGAATGACTCATCCAATTCCTCAGAAAGTGACAATGAAGCTCATTCAGCCTTCACACAGACTGAGCACAACATAGTTGCAGCTTACTTAATAACAGCAGGTATGGGCATTGGCAAATTGTTGCGTAACTTTTTAAAATAGAGCTTGTAGATCTGAATGCTCATTTCGTACAGCAACCGTGATGGTATTTCATTTTGTATTGGGCAGCTGTCTGATGGCTTTTCTCCATGTTTACTGACAAGTTAGCAATCAGCTGCCTGACTGAAATATGCAGAAACATCTGAAGTGTGCAGAATCTAAGTTTTCTGCTCTATATTTGAAGGCAGCATTGTGTCTCAAAAAATACATTTTGTTGATATGTAATTATAGAAGAGAGTGAGAATTAGTTTCTGCCAGCTTGCAAAAGAGATAAAAATAGAGCATAGCTGTCACATCTTGCATTTTTCTGTGATGTGCTCAAAGCTGTCTTGAGATTTCTCCTGGGCCACATGTTTGTAGTAATATATGTGTAGTCTGAGCATGTGAGCGGGTGTCTGTTAGGGGGATGTAAGGGGAAGGGTTGGAATGTGACTTAGAGGGAGGGAGCTGGTCATTAATCAGAGAAGAGCAGATTCCAGTTGCAGCTGTATTTTTCACCAATGACATGTGTTAGAATCTAAGTCACATCATGTTTGTTCCCTGTGACTGCAGTGGTCTTTGGCTAATCTTGAATGATTATACAATTGTTTTTATTCTCTCCTTAAAAACTTTCTTATTGTATAACCACAATTTCTTCAGTAGTACTTTTCTGAAGCAGTGAGTGCCATAATAATGAAATATCCACCTAACCAAAACTGAAGCCTACTGTGTTTAAAAACAGGCCTTCTAGACCTTTATTATGGAAAATCAAATCAGTTTAGTCATTACTCATTGACTATACCATAAATTTTTCCATGTTGTAGTTAGGTTTTAAAATACTTTAAATTATTAATGTATTTTACATTTACATATCACTGATGGTTGCAGTTTATTTAGCATACATGTCTGAAAGTGGTGAGTATCAAATTGCTGTTCTGGAAAAGTGGCTATGTTTGGATCCAATAATTTATTTAAGATCTTTGGAGAAATTAATAGAACAGCTACACAGAGCAGTAGGCTTCTTAAGAAGCTGTAAATAGATAAATAATGGTCAAGCATTGGAAGTAGATATACCTCTTATACTTTCATTAAAATTGATTATGTAGTATGTGACAAGGTGATATTTTCTGGTAGTTTTGACCAGCTGATGTTCAGGATCAAAGCTGTCATTGGTGATCATAGGTTATCAATGGAATTAGCCAGAATCAACCCAGCTCTTCTTTCTTAATCTTGCATGGAAATTAAATCGCTTGTGAGAAAAAAAAGTTGAATTACTTTGTGGTTTTAGGTTTTTTTCATTTTTTTATTTCTAATTATAGTTGGGGGAGTCTAATAAATCTTTACTTTCTTAATGAGAAATGTTTTTGACAATTAAGTCCATAAAATACTTGAAAGCATGATTGATTGCTTTGCAAAAGCCTTACCACAGCAAATTTCACATCTGGAAGACTTAAGCCTTGTTAATAAGTATAAGAATAAGAATGAAGTCTGGGTACAGTGTTTGTCATTATGCTTCCCTTTAAAAGATTTAGGTGTTTCTTTCTTGTTTTCTGAGAAGGAAATAATTGTTAGGCATTTCCCATGTCAGAGTATTCATATCTGTAATGACAACAGGGATACTCAGGCTGCAGCAAGCTATGCTGTGTTTTTCTGCTAATAGTGGTGAAATACTCTGGTATTTTAAAATGCCAGCTGGAAAGGTAAATTACATGTTGTACATGTACCTGATTTTTTTTTTTTTACTTTGATGCTACTACCTCACATTACCATGTCTCACCCTAGACTATGTCTCTCAGCACCATATCTACACCTTCCAAGGGGTGGCAACTCAACCAGTTTGTTGGGCAGCCTGTTCCAGTGCTTGATAAGCCTTACTGTGAAGAAATTTTTCCTAATATCCAAAAGTACTCTTCCCTGGTGCAACTTGAGGCCATTTCCTCTCACCCTATTGCTTGTTCCTTGGGAAAAGAGACCAACTCCCACCTGGCTTCACCCTCCTTTCAGGTGGTTGTAGAGAACGATAAGGTCACCTTAACCCTCCTTTTCTCCAGGCTGAACAAACCTGGCTCCCTCAGCTGCTCCTCAAAAGATTTGTGCTCCAGCACTTTGACCAGCTTCAATGCTCTTTTAATAGATTCTGCTTAACTGCTGCCTGAGAAACTTCATTCATCTGCTTGACCTGTTCCTCAGAAATAGAGAAGAGAGAATTTCTTGTGTCCACATGTTTTTTTCTCACTTTATTCAAGATGGAATCCATGTTCCATCTTCTATTTTGTTCTTCAAAACATTCTTTTTTTTTGCTCTACTATTAG